AACTCCAGATTCTGATCTTTGAATCGAGTGATTAACTTTGCTATTCCTGGTGAGAGAAACACCTTGGCCCTCTCAACACTGTCCTCAGCAGCTGGGGTGTCCACCTTAGGGAGGGCTTGTCCACCTCAGGCTCTCTGCTGCCCTTTCCTGGATACAAATACTTCTTGTACATCTTGCTGCAAGGTGGGCCATTCATCAAGCTGGAGCCCAGTGGGACTTATGGTTGAAGGAGACAGTAGCACCCAGGCCAGGGAAGGCACTCGGCTTCATCTATGCTGCAAACTCTCATTGGTAGGCTTGCTGGCTGTGTGACCTTGAACAAGTTCCTCAATCTCTCTGGGCTTCACTTTTCTAGTCTGTTGAAAGGGGATAATAATAGTACCAACTTTACAAGGCTATTATGCAGATCAAATGTGTACTATTTGTGAAGCAATTTGAATAGTGCCTGGCATATAGTAAGTGCTGTATAAGTGTTTTTCAAACAAAATAAGATCAAACAAATGAAGGATAACTGACCATGCCACCCCAAAATATGTCTCTTTGGCCTAAGAATTACTGTGAGCCAATTATTTTTCAGAAACAGCAGACACTGCAGAATCTCCGAAAGCAAAGCAGAGGATGTAGGAACATTCCCCTTTGGGATGGGGAATGGACATTCATAAAGAAAATCTCTGTAAGTGTATCTCCCTCTTTGTACGAGGGAAAGAATGACTCTAAACCACAACAGAATCTCATCAATGGAGAAGATGGAGAAGGCATAACTACTGCAGGACAAACCTTGCCCTCATTTACTGTGCTTCCCTGCTAATCCCTCATAATGCCCCCCCCCCACTTTTCTTTCTTGTGTCTTTAGTTGAAAGTGATATTTAAGTAACCTGGGCCATCTCAGAGGATTACTCAGTTTCTCTGGGTATCTCCTAGGTCAGTGGTTGGCAAACTCATTAGTCAACAGAGCCAAATATCAACAGTACAACAATTGAAATTTCTTTTGAGAGCCAAATTTTTTAAACTTAAACTATATAGGTAATATATTGTTATTAACTTAAGTAGGGTACTCCTAAGGCTTAGGAAGAGCCACACTCAAGGGGCCAAAGAGCCGCATGTGGCTCACGAGCTGCAGTTTGCCGACCACGGTCCTAGGTATACCTGAGATACACTTGTTAATAAATATCTGTTCCCTTTTATCTGTTTTTACTACAAGGCCTCAGACAATAACTCAGAAGAGTGAAAAATATTTTCCTCTCCTACACAAACAATTAATTAGTGTATTGGGTAGAGAAGAGCGAGTGCAGACAGGGAGATAATTCCAGGATCTGTAGAGATTTCTTCATGTACGTGGTGATATGAGAAAATGGGACTGGAACGTGGTGGTCCTCTGAGCAGGATGATTCCTGGGTTCTTTATCCAGTGGAGTCAAAGAATGAAACCACAGATGAAAGGTGGTATAGCAAAAGGTGGAAATTATTGAGAAACAAGCACAGACTCCCACGTGGGGAAGAGGAAAGAGTCCCACCGAGTCCCCCTTCTTAAGGCTGCAGTTTTCTGTGCCTTGATAACCCCTCTTATTGGTCACTATTCCCCTTTGATTTGGTCACTATAACAACTCCTGAGCTTAAGCCTCATGTAAGTGAGGTTCCCTCCTTCTTCTCCCTTATTGTTCTCTTATTCCCTCTGGGCTTTTCTTCCTCCCTCTTCGAATGAGGGGCTTCCTTCCCTTTATTCTGTAAATGTGTACCTTTTGCTACTCTTAGTTCCCTTATCTTATGGAAATGCAACTTCTGCTGCTCCCAGCTCCCTTGTCTTATGGAAATGTACCCTTTGCAGCTCTGTAGCTCTGTGCTTGTTCCATGGACCCCTTAATTCTTAAAATTTCCTAAACCGGCCTATTTCACCCCTAAAAATTCCTTTCATTGGGAGAGGTTGAGCCCAGTGCCATGTTATTTGTCATTCCTGACATAGATCTTAGTGTGCCTAGCCTCAGATATAATTTTAAAGGTGTTACACTTATAACTACTATCCAACCTCTCTCCTCTCTTTTTTAAAAAAATGTTTTTATTGATTTCAGAGAGGAAGGGAGAGGGGGAGAAAGATAGAAACATCAATGATGACAGAGAATCATCAATCTGCAGCCTCCCCAATGCCCCCTACTGGGGATTGAGCCCCCAACCTGGGCACCTGCCCCTGACTGAAATCAGGACCCTTCAGTCTGCAGGCTGAAGCTCTATCGAGTGAGCCAAACTGGCCAAGGCTCTTCTTCTCTTTAGAAAAGATATGAGATGTATTCTCTTGGGAGTAAAACTTATTCATTTATAATCTATATATATAAAAGCCTAAGCAACTGTTACAACCAGACGACCTGCCAGTAGCTATGATGTGCACTGACCACCAGGGGGAAGACACTCAATCCAGGAGCTGCCCCCCGGTGGTCAGTGTGCTCCCACAGCCAACCTCCCGTGATCCTTTCCCTTGGCTGGCTTGCCTGCCCTGATCAGCCCTTATTGACCCTGATCACTGGCCAGGTCAAGGGACCCCACCATGCACGAATTCATGCACTGGGCCTCTAGTATTCAATAATATATTATTTTATTGAGTACTTACCTAGTTCAAGGCAGATGCTACATGGTAAGGACACATGTAGGGAAATTAAAATGGTTCCTACCCAGATAAAGCTTAGATTCTAGCTGGTGAAAGTGACGTTAAGATAATTGTGCAATTACTAGTTTAATCACAATATGCAGGGTACTCTGAAGGACAAAGATAATGTGTAGCAGAAATCCTGTTTTAATCCTGTAGGTCAGGGTAAGTGTCATGAAAGAAAAGATATTTCAGGACCTGGTGAGGACAGGGGTTTGGCCTTGGGAAGAGAAGGCATTCCAAGGCTAGGCTCGGGGACAACATGGACAAAGGCTCTGGGATCATTTTGCACTAGATGAGATCCAAAAAAGAAAAATAATTGCTGTCTTCTTTGAAAAGGATGGTGTGGTCATAGCAGATGTTTTACATAATCACCTGTTTCCCCTAAGGGCAGGCTATGTTGGTGCTATATAATTTTACCAGTGTGGATGAGAGGGGCCACATGCTAACCTGACAAGCTCAGGGAAGGCCTGGAGGGCAGTCTTGCAAACTCAGAGACCTAAAGTAACCACAAAGGATGGTCTGAAATTAAACTTTAATAAAGCAGTTACGGTGGGTAGTCACCTCCTAGGCTGGTATCTTCCCTGACAAGGTCAATCTTTACCTTGACTGAGTTGATTGTCTTTTTGCATCTATGATAACATATCCTTGTAATGCCAGGGTAACTTGTAACTTTCCTTTTTTCAGGACTACTCAGGGCACAACCAAATGCCCTGGGTGCCAGGACAGATACCACAAATTCCTTCATTGTTATTGTTATCATGTTAATTGTTGACTGTTAACTATCCTGCACCCACCTAAGTAAAAGAAGTATGTGTCTATCATTTTACTTTTTATCCAATCCCAGAGGTTCCCCTCCCCGCTTTGCTTTATCCCACCTCCCTAATCTATTGTTAGGTTAGGTGGCTCAGGAGGCGGCGCAAGAAATAGAGTCCAGTGAATGAGAAAAGAAAGGAAAGGAAAGTTTATTCTGCGTCCCCGGGAGACCCACGTACCCCCAAAGACAGGGCACGTGGATTCACGCCAACATGGAGGGGGGCGGAGTGGGTTATCATCCCTTCTAGTCTGAGATCCCTCCCCTCAAGGACATTCTGCACTGTTTTCCTCCGTTATATAAAGGCCTTATGTAAATTATTGCTGGCGTATTCATTTACATATATTTCCCAACTACCTGCGCCGACATTTCTCAATATCTCATCCCTATTCTTGAGCTGTGAGAAGGTGGGGCTGTCCATGTAAAAGACATCGATGTTTGCATGGCACATCCCGACCCGGCTACTCTTTCCGCAGCGTTCTCGGCTCTGAGAAGATGGGCTTGTCCATGTAAATAGCATTATTTGCATATCTCTCCCATGTCATTTGCATGTCAGCAGAAACTTCCCCGATTCAGCCCTTTCTAAATCCCGAACCTCCCCTCGCGG